GGCGCGACCGGCCGAAAAAAGAAAAAAAGAAAAAAAAAGACACTACTGCCTTAATTAAACCTCCGCCCTGACACCACCGTCGGCCTGAGTTACGAACGCCTTTACGAACTCAGGCCCTGACACAGACGCCGTTGCCTGTTTTTTCTTCTCATTACGAACTCCCATGTGACATAAACGTACTTCCCCCTTCTTTCTTTTATGGATGACGTCACGAGTGATGATCGTGACTGCATCGTTCAATCATTGCATGCATGATCCTCGTTTATATCTAAAGATGAAAAGATTGGGGAACGCGGGTGTATGCCTAACCTTAGCTCACGGGAATTGAAGGGAAATAAAGAAATTGGCCGCCTCGAGTCACGTTACGAATGGACCTTGGGCCATGTGTATACGTTACAATCGGCCAATAAACCAGGCCAGTTCCATGTACACGAGGCACCCACGCTCGATCTGTGTGATTGGTATACATTTGCATGGGTAGGAACCTGATTGCGTTAAGGTGAATTCGCAACTTGGAATTTAGTGTCCCTTTCTGAGTAACAGATCATGATTGCTTGAGGGACCACGAGTACCTGGAATGTGGTGGAAGTGAATATTTCTCTTATCAATTGCGATCGGGGCTCCCCGACTTCCTGCAGCAGACGGGAGATGAGTGTGTATGCGAGTGGGGTATACAACAAGCCATAGGCCGCAGCCTCCAGATCCGGCAATACCCCAACACACACACGTTTCAGGTTTTTACTAAGCCCAAGTTCGTTGCTGTAGAAGCCGAGTTCCCTCCCCACTATCTTATTCTCCCTTATCACCCGACCATCCTTAGTACTCGGCCATGGAAAACTGCGAGTTGAGAAAGTCTCCTTTATGTTCGAACCTTTCTGCATTTTGGTCCTTGGAACTTTGACACAGGAGATTCCAGTTCCGACCTGGGACTTCACCCCATTTTCCTAAAATCCTTGGCACGCCCTTTTTTTTCGCATTTCCATGCGCGCTTTCACTCCGATCAGGAAGTCGCGTTGGGCGTGAGGGCTGGTATTTATCAAGTCTAAGGACTATCAAATAGTTTGGCTTCATATCCAATCGATCTGGCGAGCCGAGGTAGAGGACAGTCTAAAAATAAAGGTGTGTAGGCACGCGACACTGCAGTCACCCGAAGCAGGCGCAAATGATGATGGTGATTATTAGTATTATTTTTTTTATTGATGCAGCGGCAATAGTGTTGTCTACTCTTGGCCACCCAAGAGACTGGTGTAACCTAAAAATCGATTCATTTTGCGGAATCACTAAAGAAACAGCCAGTGCTACAAAACCCGAAAGGCCAAGTCCACCAAAACCATGATCATTCAAGGTTTAAAAATGTTCTAATGTTGTAAATTTGCACTATCATTCCCTAATTTATATAAACTAAAAATCACAAGTTATACTACTACTATGCGCGCCGATGTTTTGGCATTCTCACCACTATGCGAGTATGATAATCATGCCCGAGATGGGGCATAGCAGATAAGGGTTTCCTATGTGACCTAGGAGGAAAGAGAAGGGCAGAGCTATGAGGTGCAGAACATGCGGTGTGTGGGGGGGCGGGGGAGGCGGGTGGGTGTTTGTACGTACTACGGGGGAATAGGATGCATAGGGCAGAGTTTAGAACATACACTGAAATCATAGACTGCATTTGAGGGGGTAGGTTATATGTAAGGTGTAGCTAGGGAGAGTAGTAGTAGAGATGGTTGTGTCGTATAGTAAGGGTATACCGTTCGAT